GTGTCCCTTCCAAATCGACAATTCTATGATTCTATAACATAATAAACATTTATATTTACATATGTACTGGTTCACATGCAAGGATGCAATTAAAAGCTAACAATATAACTAAAACATGTATCTTTCAATAAGTCGATTTGCACATGAAATACCTTTAAATGAAAAAAAAAAAGCTTGTGGGTATCTTAGCCCATATGAAAACTTAATGTACAGTAACACAGAAAAAAACTGCACACACAGTTTATCAGTTACTAAATAGAAGAGACAGCACAACTGTGTGTGGCCTGCTTTATTCAAACCTTTGTTGTTGCTTAAAACCAGTTTTCCCCTGTATTCCTCCAACCCCACTTTACTCAAACTTCTGCTGCTGTTTAAAACAGCCACTTTTTTCCCTTTCAGTGTATTGCCCTTCTCACTGCACTGAAACTTTTCTGTTTTCCATTTGTCAGCTACCTCATGTGAGAGAGATTAAGAATGCGGAACCCTCAAATATTACACAGTACTATACTCAAACCTCTGCCATTGTTTAAAACCACCATTTTCCCACTCAGTTCATTCCATCCCCTGCTTTATTCAAACTTCAGCTGTTGTCTTAAACCACCACTTTCCCCCTCTCAATGAGAGCCAGTGTGGTGTAGTGGTTAAGAGCGGTAGTCTCGTAATCTGGGGAACTGGGTTCGCGTCTCCGCTCCTCCACATGCAGCTGCTGGGTGACCTTGGGCTAGTCACACTTCTCTGAAGTCTCTCAGCCCCACTCACCTCACAGAGTGTTTGTTGTGGGGGAGGAAGGGAAAGGAGAATGTTAGCCGCTTTGAGACTCCTGAAGGGGAGTGAAAGGTGGGATATCAAATCCAAACTCTTCTTCTTCTTCTTCTTCAATGATAATCCCTTCTTGCTCTAATACCATGGCCACTGCTGTTGCGCAAGCTGCCTCCTCTTTTGCCCCCCTCCCCTTCCCTGACTTCATGCAAATCCAGGACTGTGATGCAGCACAACAAATGTTTTAATTGGGGCTACATAATGACAGTCTTACATTTTATTTATATATGAAGAAACCTAACCTACCACATTTACTATAAAACCTATGTAAACCTTTGTAAAAGGAGCTTGCCGGATATGAATCTTGCCTTGGACCCATAACATTGTGTTTGTCAGGATATTGTGCTATTTTTCATAGTTACACAACTCATATCGAATAAATTAGATAATATTGCAAGTCTAATGAAAATGCATGAGCAGTCTCTGACCATTTGTAGTGGACCAAGCAACAATGGGAATGAAAACCCTCCCTCTTACGGGTCACTGTTATATTAATATACATCTATCTAAGTTAATTCCAGAACTGGGGCACTCTAATGTCAGACTCATGTGACTAAGAAGAGGCAGGACTATATATATGACTTTTAGTGAATGGAGTTGCCAGGGGCAGAAGAAATAAGCCTCTTTCTTTTCTCCCATGTGAAAGGAAAGATTGCATTCACACTCATTGGCAAAGATAAAGGACAGCACCTGAAGAAACCTGCCTTTCATGCACGCTGCTAGATGACTCAATCTTCACTTAAAGGGGTTGTGTGTGTGTGTGTGTGTGTGTGTGTGAGAGAGAGAGAGAGAGAGAGAGAGAGAGAGAGAGAGAGAGAAATACAGTGGTACCTCAGGTTAAGTACTTAATTCATTCTGGAGGTCTGTTCTTAACCTGAAACTGTTCTTAACCTGAAGCACCATTTTAGCTAATGGGGCCTCCTGCTGCCATCGCACCGCCGGAGCACGATTTCTGTTCTCATCCTGAAGCAAAGTTCTTAACCCGAGGTACTATTTCTGGGTTAGCGGAGTCTGTAACCTGAAGCGTATGTAATCTGAGGTACCACTGTACATGCATGCGTCTGCAATGCACTGCACAGGCCCAGATACCCAGAGATCCCTGTAATATGCAAGCCCTCTGTTCACACAAACACATACCACTCAGGGCATTTTGCTAGCAATAGCTAAAACCATTGTTTGCTTTGTGATTTTTTACACTTCAAAGACCCCACATGAGCTCAACATACCTCTTTCTTGGCAGATATAGGGCATCTGAAGGGATTTATTCCACAATGAATATGGGTCACCTTAAAAAACAAAACAAAAACATTTTAAAGCAAGCAGGACCATGGCCCTGGCATGTCTAGCTGTTGTAAGGGTATGCCTGAGGCAATCAGTTAGGATATTAAACGGCAGCACTAGAAGGGTAAGCAAACGCAACCCATCTGGCTTAGCCTCCTATCCAAACAGGATGGCCATTTGCTTGGCAGCCTCTCACAGATCAGCCTGTAGAATCCAAAGCACAGTGTTGCTGCTGACAAAGATTCAGTTGAGGCAAATGAATGGGCAACCTCCACTCCAGGGGCATTGTGCCTCTGGAAACCAGTTGCTGGGATTCACAAGCGAGCAGAATGCTTGCAGGCTTCCCGCAGGCATCTGCAGAGCTGGCCCAAGACATTTTGGCACCTGAGGTGAACTGCAAAATGGTGTCGCCTGCGACCCGGGAGGAGTGAGTGACTGAAGATCTACATTGGTAGAAAAGGATGGAATCAAATCAACCTTACCCGACAGTTGAAGTGGGACTCAAAGGCCATCGCGGGGGGGGGGGGGAAGGGACCCACTCTGAATCCAGCCAGGCATGTGCAGACCCCAGGAGACCCCAGAGGCAGCCCTCACTATTTTCTCCCTGGGGGTGGGACAGCAGTGCCTCCTATTCACCAAGAGGCCACTGTAGAGGCAGCATTGGCAGGTCTGGCCTCCAAGGATCACGCTGCAGCCATTGCTGCCACCATGGTAGTAGCGGCGGCGGCAGCTGACGCAGTCCTTGGAGGCCGGATCCTGCTGCCAAATATAGTCATTATTACCCACACTTTAACCAAGTATATGCATTTTAGTGAACATCATTTGGTTGGAGAACTGTATTACAAAATTCAGATAAGTGCAAATTTTGAAAGTAAGCTGTGCCTTGCTTTGCATATTATTTCAGAAAGTGCAAATTGGGTTGATGTGTCTCACCTTCCCTCACGGGTTGGCTGGTCCTGGGCATCTGGTTGACCACTGTGAGAACAGGATGATGGACTAGATTGGCCATTGGACTGATCCAGCTGTTCACTGTTGCAACTTATACTGTCTTTTTAGGGCGCGCGTGTGTGTGTGAGAGAGAGATAGTGTGTTATATAAACAACCTTTCCTGTGATTTTTAAATACTTTGTCATGTTGGGAATAGGTGGCTGTGGTGTACGACGGGCCTTGTGTAATATTGACACCTAAAAGAAAACTGAGACTGATAGAATTATATTATTATTATTATTATTATTATTATTATTATTATTATTATTATTATTATATTACTTCATTATATTTATATGCCGCCCTATACCCACAGGTCTCAGGGTGGTTCACAAGATAAAAACACAAAATACATAATCAAAATATAAACAGAAACCGCCAAACAACCTCCCCAAAACACCTAAAAACAGGTAAAAAGATTTTAATTTTGTAAAAAAGATTAAAAACACAATTAAACAGCAGTTTAAGAGAACATAAATAGTACTCTCTGTTGGGCAGCAGCAGTCCTAGGCCCTGCCCTAGGCCTGGTGGAGAGAGGTAGGAGCAGGGCCCTCAGACTCTCAGCAGTCCTGAGAGTTGACATTGATCTCAATGTCCCCCAGTTATGCTTTTTGAGTAAGACTGGACCCTGTCAAATCAGACCTCACAGAAAGTGCAACTAATTCATGAGTTGCCAAAATGTCTGGTAATTTAAAGAGTAGTTAACGAATGGGAAAGTTCCTCCAGCCTTTTCCATTTTTTTAAATCTAGCATGCAAAGGGAGTGATTCTTACAGGCATTATATCATTGAACATTAAACAGCTGAAAGCAATCATATTGTAATTACTTTTCAGTAACACTTTTACAGCAGCACAAACAAAATAATAGGCCATAAATCCTATGAGACAGTACAAACACAGTAGTAAAAGTTTAGTATGATTAGTGCAGTGACAAAACCTGACCTCCAATTTCCTGAAAGCAAAGAGTAGGGCGATGATGGGGAGGCTTCATTTTACCCTAGTATATGCATTTTTGTAAACATTATTTGGTTGGAGAGCCATATCACAAAATTCAGGTAAGTGCGAATTTTGAAAGAAAGTTGTGCTTTGGTTCACATATCATTTCCAGAAGTGCAAATTGGATTGACTTGCCTTAAATGCAAACTGAATTGAATTCCATCCCTAGTGCAAAGTAAATCAGACTGTTAGCATCTGAAAAAGATTTGAGCTTTCTGCTGAGTGAAACGTTGGAGAAATCCATGCCTAAAAATGACATGGTAACTGGCTGATTTTTCTCTCAGTAGTATCAATGGATTTTTCTACTTTCTGATTTTTGGAATCAGGCAGCACCTGTAGTGAGGGGGACTTAGGCTTCTACGCAACCTGGAACCACCTGCAATCAGGTCTCATGAAAGCTTTTGTGTCCACAGCTTTAGGCATAGATGCCTTCTCCTTGGAATACCTTTGCCCTGTACGTGGAGATGCAGTGGGGGGGGGGGGATGACTCAGTGCATAATGTGTGTTGATTTAACATGGAGCACCTGGGCAGGATTTTAGTGAGTGATAGTTTCTTGCTCTTTCAATGTATGTATGTCAAAAATTGCCATCTAAGGTGGATCTCCTGGTGCTGCCAAATGGTAAGGTCGGTTTACCTCTTATCAATTTCTACACAGTTACCATGTTCTAGTCATGCACCCAGGATCATGTCATATTTTCTTGCTTTCCACCTCTTTAATGTCATTGAAAGTACTGCAGGACATGCTGGGCTGAAGGAGGGCCAAAGCCAGGCATGTATAACACCTTCCAATTTGTTTCTGACCCTCCTGGCATGGTGGTGGGAATATGGGCCCTTTCCCCCCAGCAAATCGTGCTGTAGCTAACACTTCACAGAATTGTGCACTGTTTGTTTACCTGTGATGCCTTTCTCCCCTACAGAAGTGGCGTTCATCATCACCACCCTCCTAGCAAGTCTGAACAGCTGCTGTAACCCCTGGATCTACATGCTTTTCACTGGCCACCTTTTCCATGACCTCTTGCGTCGCTTCCTCTGCTGCTCCTCTCGGTACTTAAAATCTCGGCAAGGATGTGACCTGAGCGTTAGCAGGAAAAGCAACTCCTCCACCTTTGTCCTGAGCCTCAAAAGCTCCAGTCAGAGGAGCTTCACTCAGCCGTCCACAGCGTGAGGAGTAGAAACCCAAGTCCTCCAAGAACTGTGCCACAACGAGATGGGCAGACCGGCCTTAGCGTGTACATACTTAAAAATATGAAATAGAGGTATACAGGAGTGTTTGGATGTAAATACATATATACATATATATAATATATTACATAAAATATATTAAAATGTGTGTATGATGTGCAGGGTACTCATTATTTAAGGAGCAGGATAGCAGAAAGACAGCTATAGTCTAATAGTAGTTCACAGAATGGATAGCTCAAGGTTCTAGTGCTGTATTTTTAAAAGACACAATGGACTCCACAAGTCATTGAAGCCATAAGGCAACATCTGCCCACAGGTACAAAGTGGAGGACAGCTCCTCTTTGAACACTATTAGAGCATGGATCAGATAGAAGTGGAGGCGTTTTAGGAGACAAACTGCACTTGCAATAGAATAACTATTTCCCTGTCCCATATTAACTTTTCAGGCCAGGGGGTGAGATCAGATGTGGAAATGCCCACCACAAAATGAACTTTCAGATAGAGATGGGTTGATCAGCCTAAAAATGCTCCATGCCATTTATTCATGCCCCCAAAGAGGAGTTTGCCCCATTGCATTTCAACGTTAATGTGTATCTTTAAAAAAAAAAATCAATGCAGAATTAAGACCTTTTTTGATTTGGTGGTCTGAGCAAGGGAGCTACCTTTATTATTATTATTATTTTTAAAAAATTAAAGACAAGTAATTGCCACTTGGAGAAGCTTGAAACCAAATGACTCCTGGAAGTGATAGGGGCATGATAACATCCCATTGCTCACAAACTTCTAAAAAGAAATAACTGCAGCAAAATAAAAGCAAAATGGCTGTCCCCAGGATTTGTAGTGGAGACAAATTTCACCAGCTGCCAGCCCTGTCTCATAACTAAATGCCATTGCATGCTGACAATCACGGACTGCAAGATGTCGACTACCAAGATATTGAATATTATTTATTTTGTATTTATATATATATATATACCACTTAATGCCAAAAAGGGAGGGGGGAGCTTCTAAGCAGTTCACAAAGTTTAAAAGCAAGTTATACAAACTGTTAAAAAATAAATATTCATAATTAAAATACACAGTTAAGAACAGGACACTCAGGTTAAGAAATCAACATAAACTCATGCATCTTCAAAAGCTGTTAGAATGCCAGTGCAGATGGGGCCTCTTATATTTCAGCAGAAAATTAATTCTTCAACACCAGTGCTACTAGTGAAAAAAGTTCACCACTTCAGTCCCAACAAACTGACGGGCATCAGACTGTGACCAGGCTAACCAGGTTCCCTTTTTTAAAAAAATCTTAATGCCCTTGCCAGGCAGTGGGAGGAAAATCTGGGTAAATCTGTTCCAGAGTTGTTGGGGGCTTTATATGTAAATAGCCCTGGCTTGGTGGCTAATAGGCAGCCAGTGCAGGTTCTACAGTTCAGGTATGATAAGTATCTGGTGAGGGCCACCACTCACTGCGTGGATTGTGGCCTTCTGCAGTAGCCACAGACTCCATACCAGCCATAAGAGAAGCCCTACACTGTGTACATTGCAATAGTCTAAACATGAGATTACCAATGCATGAATCACAGTAGCCAAAGTATCTTTGCCAACCCAAGAAAAGATAGCCAACACTGATTGGTAGGTGGTTTTTGCCCCCTGGGATTCCATGGACAACTATGGCTCCAAGAACTGTTCACCAGTTCTTTCAGGGTGAGTACAACCGGCTCCCTTGGCCAGTAAAGCGAGATGAGCGCCGCAACCCCAGAGTTGTCCGTGACTGGACCTAATGGTCAGAGGTCCCTTTACCTTTACCTTTACTGCCTCATCTAGAACAGTCAAAGTCCTCAATTCTAGGAGCTGGGAGCTACTCACCTGCAGTCTCTCTTTCTTAACAGAGCTCAGGTTCAGTTTATTCACCCTCATCCAGCCCACCACTGCATACAGGCACTGGTTCAGCTGCTCCACTGCCTCTCCCGACTCAGATTTAATTAAACAATAGCGTTGGCTGGCACACTGATGGCACTGAGCCCAGTTCTCCTTATGACTGTTCCAAGCAGCTTCCTACAGATGTTAAATAGCCTTTTGGGATAACATAGTGCCTTGCAGCACCCCACAACTAAACTGCCAGGGTGTAGGCACATAGTGCCCCAATGCAATTCTTTGAGACAGGCCCTGTAAGTAGAAACAAAACCACTACAGAACAGTGCCTCCAACCACAAACTCGCAGAGAAAGTCCATGAGGATACCATGGTCAGTGTGGTATCAAAAGCCACTGAGAGTTCCAACAGTAGCCACAAACATGGTTGCACTTCCTCTGTCCCTCCCCCCAGAGAAGGTAAAATATAACTGGATGCCAAAAACAGCATTCAGAGAATATTCAAAGAATATCTGAGCATCCTTCAAAACTGCAAAGGAGGATTTTCCATCCAAACTGGATTCACTTCTAGAGATTCTCCACCTGCAGTCCTGCAGTATCAATATCACATGTTTCCACTGCTTGCATCCATTTAGTTCTGCCACTTTAAGGCAAAGAGCCTTTTACATTACAATTCTATGCCATCTACTCGGATATAAATCCCACGGTGTTTAATGGGGCTTGCTCCCTAGTTTTAGGATTGCATCTTTAGTGGCTGGGGATAAATCTGAGGATATCTTAATTGTTGTTTTTAATCTGCATTTGAGCAGCTTTTCATTTTTGCATTGTAAATGAGCCAAAAGGATGGGGTAGGATAGACATTTTAAAATTAAATCATGTTAATAGCAAAGAGCCTAATTATCTTGTCTGAAAGGAGAACCCCAGCAATGCTTCAAAACAGATGTGAACGCTGGCTGGCTGGCTGGCTGGCTGGATCCAAAGTACTGCAGCTTTGGGTTATCAAATCAGTAGGATTTGATTCAGACATTTTTCTTTTAACCTTTCAACCTTTCTCTTAGTGAATGGAAATCTGTATGAATATTGCATAAGGTCTGAGCCTATAAGTGCTCATTTGCTTGACAAAATGCATTGGATAGATTGGCAAGAAATTCCCTGTCTTTTTCAGAGTGAGAATACCACTACGAGTCAGGAAAATCAGCGGTGTCATTCAGGAGTAATTCCACTGAATACCATTAATAGCAGTAACAATTTTCAGGCCTAGTCTTACATTCTGATGTTTTTTTTTAAAAAAAGTATCCTGAGAATCCTTATTAAATGTGGAAGCCATCCATTTCAGTGGTAGATCTTAAAGCAATTCAAGAGCTTAAATGTTTGCAAAATTAAAGCTATGGGTTGGATACTGAGAACCATGAGCAGCAAGCCACAGAAAGAAGCTAGCAGAAGGGGCCTTTTCTATTCATTCATTCATTCATTCATTCGTTTGTTCGTTCGTTTCGTTCATTCGTTCATTCGTTCATTCGTTCATTCGTTCATTCGTTCATTCATTCATTCCTCTCTTCTGCTGCTGGCCTGTAAAGTGTCTCCTGACAACTGGGGAACCTTTCTGAATGGCATGGGATGGAGTAGGAAAGAGGATTGGCCAAAATCAGGCACAGACACCTTGGGTGGAGCTCCGCCCCATTCCATGCTGTTCAGGAAGGTCCTCCTACTGCTCTCTATAGGGGGCGGAGGAAGGAAAGGGACAGTCTGTGGACTTCCTTCCTGACAGCAGTTCTCAGGATCCATCTCGGGATCCATCCAACACATTGTTCTAAAAAGCTTTACTTAAGGTCGAGACTTATTTCATTGTAGATAAATTTGATAAATATTATGTGGCTATAACTTCATTGCTGTGTAACTCATGCAAGTACTTTAAAGAAAAAAAGATTTTATGTGAAGATTTGGTTGTGTTCTTTAATTTGAAAACATGGCAAATAAAAGAAATGGATGGAAACCCAAGAAAAAACAAACGGCAAAGCATCTGTAAATATAAAACCGTAATGCACCAAGCATACATTATGCCATGCCTTATTAAACAAGCACTCATTTTTGTATTTATTGAAACAGTCATATGCTTATGGTCTTTTTATTTTCCCATTAAGATTTCCAAGCCCTCTGCATACAGGGAAGGTAAAATGGTAGTCCTTTGACCATGGTGGGGGCAGGGGGAGAGTATGGGCAGGGGAGAGCAGTGAAGAAATGGGACAGTGGGCAAATGGGGCAGGAGTTATTGGCTCAGTTGTCTTAGAGTTTTTAAAACTACAGGATCTCAAAGTATTTAGTTCTGTTTTACAGAGCCTGGAAATCAATGTGGAAGCCAAGTTACAACCAACATTGAAAAATGTTGCTTGTTTGACTTGAGATTGAGGCTGGACCAAATGAGAAGAACCAAGTGACAGTAGTAACTCCTAACTCTGTGGCCTAAGGGTTGGTTGTAGGATTAAAGGCTCCCATTCTTGGCAGAGTACTACAAATGCTGCTGTTGCTGTGCAATCCTCTGTCATGGTTCCTCATAACAGTCAATGGACATCAGAGAGGTTAAAACAATAAAGCTACTTACTGGACAGAGCTCAGAGGGTTAGGATACAGATGGGCAGCTTGAAAAGTAATGACAGTGTAGTCCAGCACTGCCAGAGAAGGAAAGGAGATGGAGATGAATAGGAAAGATAACATAGGGAAGTTCTGACAGCCAGAGGAATAGTCCATTTGCCTCCCTAAACTACCACAACACCCGGACCTTTCACTTGCTGTCATATATACTGTTACCGCTACTACGACTGTCATCAGTTTTAACAGGCACTTGGTTTAGATGCCAGGTTACTATCACAACCATAACTGTTCTTCATAACATGTTCTCCTGGAAACACAGTGGTTTACGAGCTCCGTTTTTAGGCCAACGGCCTATTTTGCTTCCTCCAAGCAACCAGTCTCCTCACCAAATGGCCTACTACCACTTAACTTAAGGGGAAGACAGGATTCCCACCCCCACCCCCCACACCATTGCTCCTTCTTCCATGCCACAAACACAATTCTTCAAACTAAACAAGAAGGTCCTTTATCAAGGAATCTCCACAACTGGAAACACACTGAACAAAAAATATGGGCAGGCATAATTTAGGGCAATGTAATATGTGAAGAAGGGATGTGAAGAAGGTTTAAACCACAGAGCCTAGGATTTGCCAATCAGAAGGTCGGCGGTTCAAATCCCCGCGACAGGGTGAGCTCCCATTGCTCGGTCCCTGCTCCTGCCAACCTAGCAGTTCAAAAGCACGTCAAAGTGCAAGGAGATAAATAGGGACCGCTCTGGTGGGAAGGTAAACGGCATTTCCGTGCGCTGCTCTGGTTCGCCAGGTGCGGCTTAGTCATGCTGGCCACATGACCCGGAAGCTGTCTGTGGACAAAGTTGGCTCCCTCGGCCTATAGAGTGAGATGAGCGCGCAACCCCAGAGTCGGTCACGACTGGACCTAATGGTCAGGGGTCCATTTACCTTTACCTAAGATGTGAAGAAACTTTATCTGTGTGTTTAGGTTGGTGGGGCATGGTGTGTGTGAGGGGAGTGTAAAGAGAAACATTTAGTCATGTGAGCCCTCAACTCCAGTGTGTTGTCCATGTTTATCACCTCTGGAAAGACTAAGCATAGTATAACACTAGAAAATGTTCTCTCTCTCTCTCTCTCTCTCTCTCTCTCTTTTTTTGCAAATGGGTCAAGTACTACAGGGCACAGCTGAGTGTGTGCGATGAAGTTACTTTGCATTTAATTTTCATCTGCTTACCCTGTTGCCTCTCGGCACTTTTATCCCACAGCACCAGGTGTCTCCCGAAAAATGTGTGTCGGCATCAAGCATACCCACAAATAGTAAACAGGGTCTCTGAAATTCAAAGCGCGTTCTCTCCACCCCCTGCTTATCTGAGGATGGCGTCCCAGATGTTGTTTATGCTCATTTTTCAGGATTCATGTTAATTAGCATGGAGATAGTTATATGCATTTCCTTGCCAGTTGGTTGGAGCAGAATGATCACTGACTAATTAGCATTTAGCATGCCGCGACCATGGTTTATTCAGTATTTAGTTACATTCTCAATACCTTCACTCCCAAGGCAGTTGTGCTGCCTTCCTCCTAGGTGAGGGGAAGGTGAGTGGAGTGGTTTTTAACAAACCTGCAGAGACCAGGTAAGCATAATTCCTACGTCAGTTGACAAAGAGTTTGGGTTCTGCATTATTGGTCAGGTATCCGGAACAGTGGGATGTGGGTGGCACTGTGGGTTAAAACCACAGAGCCTAGGGCTTGCCGTTCAGAAGGTCAGCGGTTCGAATCCCCACAACGGGGTGAGCTCTCGTTGCTCGGTCCCTGCTCCTGCCAACCTAGCAGTTCGAAAGCACGTCAAAGTGCAAGTAGATAAATAGGTACCACTCTGGCAGGAAGGTAAACGGCGTTTCCGTGCGCTGCTCTGGTTCGCCAGAAGTGGCTTAGTCATGCTGGCCACATGACCCGGAAGCTGTACGCCAGCTCCCTCGGCCAGTAAAGTGAGATGAGCGTTGCAACCCCAGAGTCGGCCACGACTGGACCTAATGGTCAGGGGTCCCGTTATCTTTACCTATCCGGAACAGTAAGTTGCTTCCCATAGGGTAGCAATGGAGGGAAAGAATGAGCTGATTTGTGACAGGTATAAGCCCTTTTCCAGGTATTATTGCCCTAAAAAGGGGGACGCGGGTGGCGCTGTGGGTAAAACATCAGCGCCTAGGACTTGCCGATCGTCAGGTCGGCGGTTCGAATCCCCACGGCGGGGTGCGCTCCCGTCGTTCGGTCCCAGCGCCTGCCAACCTAGCAGTTCGAAAGCACCCCCGGGTGCAAGTAGATAAATAGGGACCGCTTACCAGCGGGAAGGTAAACGGCGTTACGTGTGCTGCGCTGGCTCGCCAGATGCAGCTTGTCATGCTGGCCACATGACCCAGAAGTGTCTGCGGACAGCGCTGGCTCCCGGCCTATAGAGTGAGATGAGCGCACAACCCTAGAGTCTGGCAAGACTGGCCCGTATGGGCAGGTGTACCTTTACCTTTACCTATTGCCCTAAAAGAAGAGCGTAACTGCAGGGATGCACATTCAGTCCTGCCACCAGGTTTGCACAAATTCTCCAACCTCTTGAGCCTTGTGGTGAGCCTTGTGTATCAGTGGAAGCTCCATGTGCTATTTATTGAGAACCCAGACTTCTCAAATTGCATACAGAGCCTCCACAGATGTGCAATATTCCATACTAACATTTCCCCAATGTTGTAACCTTACCATTGACAAGTAATGGCATAAAAATATATCCTCCTAAGATGCATTGATCTCCTGTCCTACGGACCTGCCACTTGGCTATTTGTAACCTGTGCATTGCCAACTTCTCTGTTCTTAAACAGTTAACATTAGGAAGCTGAATGGAAATAATGGGGAAGAAAAATACATAGCAGAAAACGAGCAAAACCACTTTCCATAACATATTTTGTACAAAGCAGCACATACTGAGATAAGGTACAGTGAGCAATTGAAATTGCATTCTCCGGCATGGAAATGGGCCACAAATACTTCAGCTTTGAGTAGTGCTTAGCTAGCGTTTTCATTTGCATCCAACTCCTCATATTATCTTCCATTACATTTTTGTATTAAATGAAAAGAAACCAAATAAAGCACTTGTGATAATAAAAACTGTTGAGAGGAAAGGCATTTTCAGCATGTAGTCCATGGACATCTTTTTCCAGGAAAGAGCAACTTTCCAACAAATGCTTTCGCTTCAAGAGCACCTCTATATTTTATGGCCAGGGAGCACGTCAGGATATGGAGGGCAGCCAGCAAAGTGCCCCTCTTAAATTGCTGGACAATCCAAACCTGATGGTGGCAGCTCTGCAGTCTACACTAGGCAGCCCAGACCCACATTGCCCCTGACACAGCATCACTGCAGGACATTGCAGGTAATTCTAGCAGTGGACAGCTTCCAGATCTAGACTCCCAATGTAAGGAGCCCGGGTTCAGTGTCAGTACTGGGGCCTTATCAGCTGCCCATGGATTCTGGATGCTCACACCATTTATGGAACCCTTCTATAATGAGCTGGGGGAATGGGAGAATTAAGGGGAGCTGAAAAACTGGATGAGGAAAAATGAGAGACAGCTCCTCCTGCTTCTCTCTCACAAGACCACAGTACCTGCTGATGGAAAATGAAAGGAGTCTTCTAATTCCTTTCATTATCCCCTGCATTGTGATTGCACACTCTAAGAGTAGGGAATGGCAACCCCTCTAATTTCTGCTTAAGACATCTTTTGTCTATGGGGCATCTGGAAAATATAACATGTGAAGTGACACTTGAAAAGGGGATCTGTGGTTCTGGGAAGCTTCTCCTTCTCCAGCTTCAAAGAAGCCTGAATGATGTTGAATTTAAATATCATTATCTTAACTTGTGCACTTCCTAAATGGTCAAAGGCAGGGGTTGAAGGCGCCACTGTGTCTGCCAGTACCTCCGACAGCATCCACTAAATATCTCATTCAATATTCCTTGAAAAATCCACAATGTATGAGAAACTTTTCCTGCTCACTTTCTCATGCCACATCCCTACCACCACCATTTTGTGTTATGTCACAACCTCGGCCATTTTGTAATTGGCACCCACAACTCTTTCTCAGGTGTTACTAAGCTGCTCTGACCACTGATGAACCTTCCCATGGAAGCATGGGAACGATCGTGGAATATGGATATGAAAATGATATATTGATAGTATCTAACATGGAGTAAATTGGCAAAAATGTATTAATCTAAATCAAATAAGTGTTGGAAATGTATAGAGAAGGTAGGTTCTTTTTATCATATGTGGTGGTCTTGTAATGAGGTTAAAGCTTACTGGGCAATGACATATAATGAATTGAAAAGGATGTTTAAAATAACCTTTGTTAAAAAAACACATAGAAGCTTTTCCTTTGGGAATTATAGGGACAGAACTACCTAAACTGTATAGAAACTTATTCATGTATGCTACTACAGCGGCAAGAATGTTACTCGCCCCCAAATGGAAAGAAGCAGAAGTCCCAGCAAAAGAA